GAGAAAAGACGTTTATTGTAAAGGACACGTTTTGATCAACTACCAGATGAGTGCTGAAAACTGCACCCGGTACACAAAAAGAAACACCTTTCAGAGGGAGAAAGAAAAGATAAAACAGAAGACTAAGAAGAAAGGGGGAAAAGGTAGGGATGCGCGCCAGCAAGGTTCGGGAGGAGTCGATTTTCCTGGCAGCAGCCAAAGTGAGCTACTCAACTCAAACTCGACTTATCCTGGGCAAGAGCGCCCTCGCGTTGCTGCTCCCTGCGCAGCGCCCCGCTGCACCCTCTGCGGGAATCAGTGCGGCAGGGTCCCAGGATCGCCTGTCCTCACCCAGCTGCCGCGCCAGCGTCGCGGCCCCAGCTCAGTAGCCTGTTACTTCTCTACATTTGTAGGGGAGGGGTGGGGGCACGAGAAAACAAGCCGCTGGGCTCCTGCCCTACGACTTCGAGCCCCTCTATGGTGTCACCTCTGCAACTTCACCCAGGAATCCCTGAGGCGTGGGAAAAGCCAATAGGACATCACAGCAAAGCCCCCAAATTCTCTCCGGGCGGAGCCAACCTGCGTCTGGCGCGAGCCCGCAGACACTCTGGGACAGCCAGGCTCTCGAGCATACATCGCTTTCTCCTAAGTGCGCATTAAGAATCAATTATTTGCCTGAGATTTCCAAAGCCGGGAACTGAGATATTCCCAGCAGGGACGAAGACAAGCCCAGAACGGTGGTGCTCATTTCCCTAGTCTTTCCAAGAGCCAGGGAAGTCTCCCACACCCGTCAGGCGCCGCACTCGACTTGGAGCAGGCCGGCTAAATCTCGTAGGGACTCTCGCCCCACCCAGGCCAAAGACTTGGAGATGTAGGGCCAGCTCTGGGGGATATTGGAAGTGTTAGTCTGAAATAGGGGGAATGAAATGTTTATTTAAAAAAAAAAAAAAAGAAGAAGATGATGATGATCAAAAGGAAGAAGAAAGAAAGAAGGAACTTCAGAGAGGTAAGTTCTTGACTTTGGAGCAAAGAGATTTATCTTAAACCGGGAGAGCAAATAATCCCAAATTTGAACGTTAAAAAAGTCCCGTATTTCTCGCAACACCCATAAGACTCAGAAATTTCCATAAAATGAATTACATTACACTTTCGGGTCTATTTCACTCTCCCACCACCTTGTCCATATAGATTTGTCTTGTTTTCTATTTCCCTTTGCCCTTAAGGATGTACCATGATTTCTGTCAAAGTAGAAAAATCACACATTTCTTTCATCTACGTCTGTTGGTAGCCCACTCGCTAGGAACATTTTCCAAGAAAAGAGAGACACAAACCCAGGAACCCAAAAAGTCGCGGTTCAAAACTGTCAAAAGCAGTCGGACACACTCCCCACCTCACCCAGTACCCTCGGAAAGGCATTTTCACTTACCGATCTTGGGGTAAGAGCTCTCCCAATTCTTTGGTCTTTTCCCGCGCGGCATCCTTCAGACAACCTCAGGCAGAGCCTTGGGTGGAGGGAAAAAAAACAAAGAGAAATCGGGAGGGAGAAAAAGAGACAAAACACAACACTACATTTTATATTTGTCAGTCCTGAAGCCTCTTGGCCTACATCCTCAGGACAAGAGGAAAAGTGTCAGTTTGGGGGACAAAAAGTAAGAGGTGGATTTTTTTTTTTTTTTTAAACTACTGGTGGTTGGGAGTGGGGAGTGAGGGGTCCTGGAAGGAGGGTTGGAAACGATGATTGGGATGAAGAAAAGAAAGCTTTTTCTTTCTTTCTTTCTTTCTCTCTTAAGGGCACAAATGAACATTGAGAACGAAGTACTAATTGAAAGATCTTTAGCGCCTTTTAACTCTTACAGGTAGGTAGCTCTTAGGAAGAATGTAGATGTGTGTGCGTGAAAGAGAGAATCTAGATGACCCTATTCTTTCCACATCTCCAGGATCTGGCCTCGAATAAAAACATAAAAGGGGGCAACTTTAATTCAAATTTCACCTACCGTGCTTGTTGGATTGGATGCGCAGATTTTCATGTTGGAGAGTTCCATCTGTCTGGCAGAAGCTGAAGTGGTGTTGGGGGCAGGTTATCTGGTGAAGTAGGAATGTACAGGAACCCCGCCCTCTAGGCACAGTTACACAACCCCAGCAACCCCTCTCAGCCAGCTTTAAAACCTCTAATGATCTTCACCTTCACCCTTTGTTAGCCTAATTCTGCAACAGGATTTTAGTCTCAAACACAACTTTAACTAATCATAAAATTAATTTCTCAAAAGCAAATTATTTCAATGCATGCAAATTCCTCAACAATGATGTAGAAAACACACTTCATACCACGCTTTAGAGTTCTAAATATATGAATTTATCCACCTATTTGAGTGAAGTATGTAACAAATATATATTAAAATCAATACACTGCAAAACACATTTTTTGCCTCTCTGCCTTGATTTGATGCCCCTCAGAAACCACATGAAGGCTACCATCATCACATGAATACTTGTGTTAAGTACTGTTAGTTCTAGACTTTATGTTCATTCGATGCCCAATTTTATAACATATTAGGAAGAAACATAGTTGGAAAAATTCCTTCACTGCTCCAGTTTACATTACTTTCTCAGTGTTTTATATATTAATAGATTTTGTTAACTTTATACCAGATAAATTCAAGTAAAACACTTTAAACCTAAATGAACTATATTTGGAGATTTCAAGTTTTAAGCTGTGGTCATTTTCAGTTTGAAAATCTCAAAAAAAAAAAAAAGACAATTGCTATTACATTAAAACTAATCACAAGTTTGAAAGAAAATAATCTTCAAAAAGTTTTGAAGTATTTTTCTGGCATGAGTTAATTTCAACTGCCAAAAATTGGTGACAAACAACACATTATGCAAAAATGTATAAATGCCATGCCAGACTGTCATGTGTGAGTTTTGTTGTTTGTTTTAGAAGATACCTTGAGGAATGATAGGATAATCAAGGTAAATGAAATGTTCACATTAGGCTTCAGGAGGCTTTCACTTTTTTCCTCTGGATACCCCCCTTCTAGAATGTCTAATAACCACATTTCTAATCATATCCATTGTATATGTAATTTGGACATGTGTCCAAACACAACTTCTACTTCAGTACTTAGTTTTAGGAATGCAAAGAAATGAATTTTACCCTTGACTTCAGAATACTAAGTTTGCCATTGAAATTCAATTTCTATCATCCAAATAAACACATAATCACAAATAAGTATAGGTATTTAATTTGACCAGAAGAAAAATACCCATGGAGAAAATCTCCTATATCTCTTTATCTCAGTACAAGAGTTTGACTTCTTTTAACTTTGGAAGGCAAAATACTGTATTTCCTCTCTGGTAGCACATTCTCATTCCACAAATAAAATCCATGGCAAAAGCAAACAATAAATCATCACCTTTTTTCCAGCTTAAACACATGCCTTTCTTGGAGCTATTTTGGTTCCCAATTGTGTAATGGGGATTTCCTTTGCCTAAGATCAGCATTTGTACTCTTTTTAATCAGTCATAAATTTGGCTTTTAAAACAATAATTTGTGAAATTTTCTTTTCTGCTTCATTTCTGAAGAACTGTTAAATTTCAGGAAACAGATCTCAAGTGAATCTGTTTTCATGCTAAGAAAATAAAATCATATTAAAAGAGATAATTAAACTAGTTGGTCTATTTTTTGCCCATTCCCCATTTTTGTATATTTGGTTCCAGCTCTTTTTAAATTTTCCTGGCACCTCGAGCTTGCTCCTTTGCTCTTCCCCCACCTCATTCCACAACCCACACTCAAATTTTCCAATATTAACTATTCTACATTTCAAATCCACTTCAGTCAATTTGCTTGTCCCCAAAGCTTTTTTCTTTTTTTTCTTTTTTTTCCCTCAGAGCAACTCTCTGTTTGCTGATAACATCTTAGGGACAGATTATTTTTCATTGGACCCATTGTAAGAAGCAGCCAGCTTATTGCATTACTGAAGAACACATTTCAGACTATACAACTATAACAAATGAACAACTTGTCCTCCATAGACTCTCCACAGGATCCAATTAGTTACTGAAACTTTTACTCAGGTTTTCTAATTTTTTTTTTTGAATTATAGCAATTGGGCTTCCTGAAACAATTTTTAAAATGTTTTCATTTTGTTTCATATATATGCATATATGCATAACATATGCATATTGCAAGTTAAAACAAAATTATGATTCAGTGTAAGCAAAAGGAACAAATCTCTAGATTAAATTATACAGACATTTAAAAGAGAATCAAATAAATACCTCCATGTTGTAAAAATAGGGGGAAAAGAAGAGAGGTTTTACTTCTGAATATCTAGAATTTTAAATTGTTATAATTTAAAATTAAAATATCAACATTGATCTGCAAGTCATTACAACAGGTGATCACTTCAGCAAAATCTATTGCAACTTCAGCACATCTTTATTAGAACTCTTTCATTGTGGGTAAACAGCCACAAAAATAAATGCTGACTTAGAAAGTATAAATACAAATATTTAAACAAAAATGTTTGCAGCATTCATAGCGCAAATTGTACCTGAACTGAAGGGCTCTGTGTGTCTATATATATTACATATGTGTTCATTATTCACTTCTATCTAACCATATACATATATTTATTTATAATTTGCCAAGTGCTATAAACAAGATACCTGAAACAAAATATATAAAAAGCATTCTATTAACTGTTTTAAAATAAACACAGAGTAAACAGCTATGCACATAAAATTAAATATCTCTTTTTGCTGTATATCCACAAAAACTTAAAGATATTAGCTGAAAAGCCTATACTTTGTTTAAAGCTAGTGTTTATTTAATAGCCTGCTCCGGGTAAAATTTGCCCACAAGGGGGAAAAATACTATTTTCATTTTTAGACTCTCAGTTCAAATTAAAGGAGCAGTTTAAATTTTAATTTGGCTGAAAAAGCCTTTGAATTCCCTATAAATTGAGTGGTCTTTCAAAAATTAGCTCTACTTAATAAAGACACAAAAGTATCAAGATATATATGAATTTAGCCTATTTTTTATTTCTGTGTGTTCATAGTAAACATTTTTGTAAGTGACAAACACGGGCATATGACCACAGTATCACAATCAAGAAATTTTAAGACAACATTAACAATCACTCAAATTTATGCGGCATTTGCGCAACACAGGTTACATATTTGCAAGGTTTACCTATAAGTACAATAGGTATTAACATTTCACTACATTTAGAAAAAATAAAAGTGACCTGTTAGTGACCACATACATCAAAATATACACAACACAAACTGAAGGCAATCATTAATTTTGTCCCCTTCCGATTCAATTGAATGGGCAGTGTTGCCAACTGAAACAACTTTCCTTTTTTGTTTGTTTGTTTTAATACTTAGTATACCAAGTGCATTTTCTAGAATCCAATCTTTGGTCTAAAAGTAAACAAAAGAAAAAAACAGTTCTTTAACGAAAAGGACAAAACAATAAATGGCCAAAATAATTTTCTTGGGCACCTTTACTACGAATGCTTCTTAAATACAAATTACAGTTTAACATTTTAAAACTCTCCCCATAATTTAGGTTGTTCTCAAGGTCTGCGTCGACCAGATAAATCCATGATAACTTATAATACTGCACACATGGAAATCTGGCGGCTCTTAAGAGATAGACTTGTCAGGTTTGAGTGAAATGGCAAAGCAGTCACTATTTAGATACATATTCTACTATAATTTTGACTTCCAAACCTTATATTCTACAATGTATTCTCCCCACATTGCACCTCGCTGACACTCCACACCTTGTTAGAATAATAAACAACCCTAGAGACTGAACAAACGTACAGAAATGAGGGGGGGGGGCTTAATAAAAAATACCTGGACTTATTTTTAATTATCATTTACAATGCAAATGTGTGTAAAACGTTCACTTACAGTCTGGTCCCAGGGATGTTAATGTATTAAAGGGTTGGAAGAAGACCCCTGATTTTGATGTGTGAAATAATCAGACAGTCCCCCGGACAGTCCCGTCGTAAAACTTGGCAAAGAGGGTCTTAAAGACTCACAGGGCAGGGTCGAGGGGGCCTGCGGCGACGTGGACGAAGACGCAGCCCTGGCGCTCATGGACGTGCTGCTCTGCGAAGTCATTGACGGGTGCGGGACGTGGGGGAAAAAGTAACTGGTCTGGCCCGCAAGCAGGTTGACGGAGCAGGGGTTGAGGGAGTAGGTCCCGGAGCAGGGCACCGACAGGCCACAGGGCACCGAGGCGGCGAGCGCGGCGGCCGTGAGGTGGTGCGTGGCGTACGGGATCTCCCCGTTGACCAGCCGGTCCACACTCAGGCCGTTGGCCGTGGAGAAGGAGTGGTTGTTGCCCAGCGAGTTCTGAGTCAACACGGAGCTGTAGGGCATGGGGTGGCTGGGGTAGGCAGACGTGGTGCCATTGTAACTCAAAGTGCTGCTGGCGCGGGGGTGGTGCAGAGACAGGAAGGGCGACATGGGCCAGTAGAGGGAGCCGGCGCGGTCCATGAAGGTGAGGCCCGTGGAGGTGAGGCGCGCCCCGCGTTTGAAGGCCAGCTTGGCCCGCGACGTGGTGGAGCGGCGCCGCAGCTTGCCCGTGGTGCCGCCAATGAACACGTCGTCGCTGGACGGGTCCAGCATCCAGTAGTTGCCCTTGCCCGGGTCGTCGTAGTGGCGCGGCACCTTCACGAAGCACTTGTTGAGGGACAGGTTGTGGCGGATGGAGTTCTGCCAGCCCTGCTTGTTCTCGCGGTAGTAGGGGAAGTTCTTCATGATGAACTCGTAGATGCCATTGAGCGTGAGCCGCTTCTCCGGGCTCTGCCGGATGGCCATCATGATCAGCGCGTTGTAGCTGAACGGTGGCTTCTCGTACTTGCCGTTCTTCTTCTCGCCCTCCTTGCCCCCCTCCCCGTCCTTGCCGCCCTCGCCCGCCCCCTTCTTCTCCTCCCCCCCAGCGCCGGCGCCCTTCTCCTTCTCGTCCGGCCCGACGGGCGCCAGCTCCCCCGGCCCGCCGCCCGGCTCGCCCTTGCCGCCCAACCCGTCCGCTTTGGCCCCGTCCAGGGCGGCGGCCGGCGGCGGCGGCGGCGGGAGCAACAGCTGTTGGGGGCCCTTGTCGTCGTCTGCGGCGGTCGGGGCGCCCCGCGCCTGGGGGGGCTGCGGTGCCGGGGGTGGCGGTGGCGGCTGCTGCTGCTGGGGTGGCGGCGGCGGTTGCGGGGCGGGCGGCGGCGGGTGGTGGTGATGGTGGTGGTGGTGATGGTGGTGCTGGGGGTGGTGGCTGTTGTGGTGGCCGTGGCTCGCGTGGTGGTTGTCGTTCTGGACCGCCTCGGGGACCAGGCTGTTGATGCTGAACGAGGACTTGGGGATCATTTTCACCTCTTTCCTATCTCCCATGTCCAGCATCACCCAGTCGTCGAGGGGAAACGGCGGCGGCGGCGGCGGCGGCGGCGCGGGAGCCGAGCAGCGGCGCGGCGGGCGGCGGTGACCGGTGGGTGCCGAGCGGAGCGCGGGGGGCGCGGGCGGCAGCGGCGGCACTGAGCGCTCCGGCAGCAGCGCAGTTGGACCGCAGGCTCGGGCGCTGGCAAGTCATGTAGCAAAAGCAGCAACCACCCCTCAGGAATTAGGAAAAAAAAAAAAAAAAAAACGGGGGGGAAAGAAAAAAAGAAAGAGAAAAAAGAAACAACCACCGCCCCGGGGGTGAAGCTCCCTAGCTCCCAACTCTACTTCTCGGTCTCCCCCCCACCCCCCGCTCCCCCCCCCTGCTGCTTCCTCCTCCTCCTCCTCCTCTCGCAGCAGCAGTCACAGCAGCAGCAGCAGCAGCCCAAAGGGGGGGAGAGCCGGGCGGCGGGCGGGCGCGTCCCGGAGCGGCCGCGGTGAGGCTGGGGAGACAGCGATCGAGGCGGCTATAGCCACAATTAATTTTCCGAGCTACAGGCGCACACTAGGGCTGTAAAAAAATTTTTGGTTTAACCTTTCCTACCGCTGGGCCAATCAGAGCCGACGGCGTGCAGGAGCGTCTCTCTCACAGCCGACCAATCGGCGGGGCCGGGTCCACCCACCCCCGCCCCGCCCGCCGGCTCCCGCCCCCTCGGGCGCTCGCCTCCCCCTCTCTACGGGCCTCGGACCTTGAGGCCGTGCGGAGCCGCGTAGGGATACGCCTGCGGGAGCACGCTGTGCCGCAGCCCCGCTCCGCGCCCCCTCCACCCCCTCCACCCCGCCGGCTCTGATCAACCGAAATCCCTCTCCTAGGGCAAATATCTCACATTTCCGGCTTCCTTCTCCTTGTATTGGGTCATTTTCGTTTGAGCGTCAATATTTGTCCTTATTGATTAAAGTTTGTATCCAATTTTATTTTTAAACGTGGGGGTGGTGGCGGTGGAGGAAAGAGTGGGAGCGCAGGGAGAGGATGCTAGGAGAGGGCTGGAAATGGAGGAGGAAGAAGCGAGGCACTACTTTTTCCGAGTCGGCCCTGCAGGCCTGGGTCTGGCATTTCTGAGCCCATAGGAAAATTGTGCCCCTTTTAGGTAATATTCTGCCGAAGCTTTGGATCTGGCGGGGGGGGGGGGGGGTGAAGGCCCATCCTTGTGGGTGGAAGGATGTCCTACACGTTGTGGGAGGAGGGCAGGGGACAGGTTTGGGAGTGGTGGGATAAGGAGGAGGAATTGGGCCGGCGAGCGCGAGGCCAAACCGGGGTTACTTACTCGTTTCCTGCGGCCTGAGCAGCGGCGAGCTCGGGGCTTCGGTGCCGCGGGGAAGCCGGGCCTGGGGGCTCCGGGTGCTGTGGCGGCGGGCAGGGGCTGCTCAGTGGTGGGCGCCTCTGATGGCCTTCCGAAATGAGAGGTGCCCAGAGAGAACACAGTACCAAACAGTCTTGAAATAAATCAGGTAACACATGCTCTGTACGTGTGTCTCTTCTTTCACCTTCTCTCTTACTCCAGACCTTCCCTCACGCGCGGGGTAACTCGCTGTCGCTTTCTCCTCGCCGCTCCAGCTTCTCTTCAGCTTCTAATCAGAACTGGAAGCTGGTAGCCGCGAGTGAGCACCCTGGAAATATTTTCATTTTGCTTGTTGACATTGGAGGGAAAATAAGTGGGAGTCTATTTCTTTCCGGGCTTAAAAAAAAAATCCTTCCTATTTCTCTAATGCTTTTATTTTGTAAGGATCTGAGTCCTGAAATATCAGTATGCAGAACCCAGCCCTTACCCACCCTGAATGCTGCTGAATGGCATGTAAGAGGCCTTGGGAACGTGGATCGCACATTCCCAGCTTCTGGGGCTTTGGGACTGGAAAGGTTTGAAGGTTCAAGTGAGCGGCAAGATTGCGATTCTGGGGCTTTAAAAGGATCCCGTGGCCAGGGGCAGGGCTAAGGCCCAGCATTTCCCAGGGATTGGAATTTAGTACGGAGCACACTGATCAAAGGCTGTTTCATTCCACATGGGCACGAAACATACCACATTTTACGGAGGATGTAGTCTGAGAGAAGAGGGAGGTGGAGGAGTATAAATAAAAAGCACCTTTCCCCCTATAGTAAGGTAAATAATTATAAAATGTAAGTATCTCTTCACTTTGATGAACTCAAAATTAAATAATCTGTCAGATTTAGTATTAAAACAGTGGAAGGAAGAGTGCCTATATGTGATGAAAGTTAAATTCTAATATAAAAATGCACTACAAAGATACTCAGAAAATAAAGGGTTATTTTCACTCCCTCCCCCCACTTCAAAGAGAGAAAGGAAGAGAGAAACTTTGGAGGGAATCACAAACAGACAATTACAAATGGCATTGAATTTTAAATGTTCATCTATAAGGAACTCCTTAAAGGAAACTTGAATATTGGACTAACTTCAAATAGCCCTACAGGATATGTATTTCCTATATCTACTTATCTCCTTACTTTAATCAAACAAACTATTTGCGTGTGGAAAAATCAAGGGTTCCAGTCATCAGCGTTGATAATGATATGTCCCCAAGTGTTCAATTCTAAGCTTGGGATTTCTCAGAGCCCGGTGAGCTAATGGGCTTTGCCAACCAGCTGAAGAGATCTGTGGGCCTTCCTCCTCCTGTTCACTTCTCCTCCTACCACTCTTCTCCCCTCTTCAGGCCGGTTCTTCCTACTTTTCCTCAACTCCTCTTTCCTCCCTCCTCCCCTCTTTCTCCCTCCTTCCCCCTTCACTTCCCCACCCCTTCCCCTCCCTCCATTCCTCTCCCTCTCTCCATTCCTCCACCTACTCCTCCCCATTTCTCCCCCCACAGCCCCCCTTCTCACCACCACTTATAATGGCACACAGGGCTCCCTCTGAGGTGGACGGCCCGGTACGTTTTCGTAGTCGGTCTAGCGTGAAATGATTCGGTGTAACCGGATTCTTGGGAAAGGACAGGTTACGTAAACATTTACTGATGTGGAGTAACTATACTATTTGTACTCTGATATGCAGGAAGGAAAGTGTTGATTAACACAGAAGAAAAAAAAAAGCGAAATTAGCTGATTGCATGCTCATAAGTGCAAGCTGTCATTGAACTGCTTTTAAAATAGACACAGCTGGGTGTTTGTGTTGAAAAATTTCTTGTGTTTTTGCTAATACTGAAATAAGCATGATTTTGTATACCAAACATTTTCAGATCATTAAAATTTGTAATCTGTGCTGGTTTTAAACACAAAGAAAAGAAACAGAATCATTTCGATGTAAAATTTGCTGATATTATATTAACTCAATCAGGTCTGTACAAATTGTGCATTGTGCCTCCTAAAATCTGTTTGATCAATTTAATACACAAAGTGCCAAACGTGGGTATTGTTTGTTAACATTGGACATTTTATTCAAATCTGAGCTCAGCAGCAAACTGGAGGAGCATTCCTTGAATACAACACCAGCTCTGACTGATGAATTTTTAATGTTTTAAGGTGTTTCTTGGGTCAATGCTGAGTGTGCATTGCTTTGTAATCCTGAATAAAATTTTAGCAGGTGAAAATGAGTTTATTTTTCCTGTATACTTTCAAGTAGTAAAAACTGGGGTTTGCTGATGAAAGCTGCAATACTCTGATTTTATATGCCAAGAGCTTGTATTGACTGGGAAAACGTTTTGCATGCAAACTAAGAATGTGTTATATTATTTTAAGGATTGTGTGAATACAAGTCTCTCAAAGTATGAAATTTTATAGGAATGAACAGAATATGCTTTAAAATAATATTAATAATCTATTCCCCTAATGCAAAGGTTATTTGCAATTTTCAAGGAAATGAGTTTGAATGCCTTTTAATGATTTTAATTGATTGCACTTTATGGAGAGATAGGAAGATATATGATATGTAGATTTTATATATAATGAGTGTGTGTGTGTGTGTGTGTGTGTATATATATCTTTATTTCTTTATATATATATATATATATATATATCTATCTTGTTCAAGAAAACATGCACTGTTTACTCAATAGCCTAAGGTTGTATCAGCGAAGGCTTCTTTTTAGAACTGCTACTAGCCGAGATGGAGGGGGAAGGGTTTTTGGACAGAGTATTGTGCAAGTTGAAAGTCCCTTGATGGGGCTTTGTGTATCTTACTTGGCCAATTTGGGTGCAAATTGGATTTGAAGGCCTGCCCACATCCACCTCGGGCCTCTTCCCTCAACACATAAAGCCATATTTTCAGCCCTCTTACTCTCTGATTACCTTCAGAAGACAGAGGGCACTGGTTATTTCAGAATGAAAACAAATTCTCCATCGTTATAATTTTTTTTTTCATAATCAGTTTAACCTTAATCTCTTGCACACACAAATCTACAAATGTGCATGAAAAAAAATCAGAAATCAGACTGAACATACTTTTCTGGGATGTATAGTGATAAACTTCTCTGCCTCCAGGCTTTAGAATAACACCGTCCCCCCCCCCCCCCAAAGAATATAGACCTTAGAAAGAGTGAGCAGTTCCAATGGGAGGATTACTTGGGATATGAATTATTCTTTCTCCCATTTTAATTCTCCACAGCATAATTCATCTAAGGAGGGAGCAGTACATTTCATTTCTGCATCTGGCGGTGTTACATTGTCTTCCTTAGAACCTATTTCTCTCTTTCAGTTTATGTTTTGCTTCTTTTCACCTGAGGGTAAAAAGGGTGGGCTATATTTAACATCCACCCTGTTGTCCATCCCTGGACAGGAGTCCCTGGAGTGTGCCCAACACCAAACTCTAACTAAAACTCTTTTACTGAATCATGCCCAGGGAGTTTCTGACCTGGTGATGTTTGGGAGCCAGCAGATCCCAAGCAGAGACGTCCAGGTATTTCCAGAGATTCTGTAAGGAGTGAGGTCTGCCCTCGCTAGAGCCAACTTGTCTGTAATCTCTTTCTAACAGCAGGTAATAGTGCTAACATTTAGTGATTAGAAGTTACTCTTTAGCGTGTTGTATCCTTGTTCTGTGGGTTTTGGTTACAGGTTATACGATTAGGTTTGCGAGAACAGTAGTGAACTAAACTTCCCAGTAAGAGGTCTTCACACCAGGGAAGTGCTACTTTTCTGCAGCAGCCCTGCCTCGTCACTCATTAGGAAGCTGCAGGTTGTCAGCGACTGCTCTCAGCACGCGCGCGCACCCTTAACGTTCTCGGGTGCGCGCACATGTGCGCGGCGCATACACACACACATACACGCACGCGCGCGCGCTCACACACACGCGCGCGCACACACACACACACACACACACCACTAAAACTAAATTAAGAAGCCGATGATTAAGACAAACGTCTACTAGGCCTGTCATTTCAGCATCCTTCCATCATAACATTGTGGCACCGGCAATTTTGCTTGAGAACCTCGAGAAAAAAAAAATCTATGGGAGAGCCTCCTATTTGAGAGTGGAAATGTTTAACTTGTATAAACTAGGGAACCACTTTGGAAGCAAGAAAGTCCAAAGGAGGTTG